ATCGTGCAGCACAACTGTTTTCAGCATTGATAATAATCAGAAATGTTTGTTGAGCAGCAAATCAGCATATTAGAATGATTTCTGAAGATCATGTGACACTGAAGACTGGAGTAATGAAACACTCAGGCCTACATCACAGGAAGAAATTATATTTGAACAGATATTACAATAGAAACAGCTATTTTAAATTGTAAAAAAATAATCAAAAAATAAACAAAATTGTAAAAAAAATAAATGCTGCCTTGAAAGAGACTTCTTTTAAAAACATTTTAAAAAATCTTATTGACCCCAAACTTTTGAACGGTAGTGTGTAAGTCATACTATGTCATACATTTGTACTAATTTGAGATATAATTACTATTATTGTTATTATTATTATTATTGGGATAACTATTCCTTTAACTCTTTCCCCACCAGCATTTTTGAAAAAAACTTGCCAGCCACCGCCAGCATTTTTGTTCATTTTTACAAAAATGTCATGGCCTCCAGAATATTTTGTTGTACGAACGTGCAATACATCAAAATAAAGAACAAAGCCCCTCCTAAAAAAAAAAAAAAGGTTTATTTTAGCTTCAAGAATTCTTTTTTTTATCAACACTTGAATATAGGCAAGTTTCATAAAAAAATCAACATTTTGATCAAAAAGCTGAGAAAATCGTATTTTTATCAAAGACTACATCTGGATCATATTCATTCCGATGATCAAAGCATAGATGCAGTAGAGCGCTTCCATCAACACCCCCAAAGCTTCACAGTCCTTTACCACTTCCGGGATCGCCATTTCACTCGGTAACATTAGGCAGTTTTCATTTATATGCCGTTTATTGTTGATGATCGCATTATTTTTCATATGCATCTGCTTACATATGAGATTGCTCGTTTCTGCGTCTTCCTCGCCTGTGTTTTTGATCGGGTGATTGTGGACTCATTCAGGAGATGTGTAATAGCGCCCCGAACACGGAAACCTGGAAAATTCCGTGTTTGGCGGGGAAAGAGTTAAGGTTAAAATATTTTAAATGTATTACATTGCAACTCCATCATTACAAATATGTAATTACAAATATATTTAAATACATTACATAAAAGTTTAAATAGAAATTACAGCCAGTTAGCCAGTACATTCAGCAATACACTTTAACCATATTTTAAAGACAATAGAAGTAATTATGAAATTACACATAAAAATGTGCTTAAGTCCTACTTAAGTGGGTCAAAACTAGTTCACTACTTCACTAGTACATGACTAGTTCAGCTACTTGCATTGAATATAAATTTGAACTATGATAAATTTTCATTTAATTTTAAGTAACACGCAATTAAATGTCTGGAAATATTGCATTCAGTTCGTGCTTAAAGGAACAGTTCACTCAAAAATAAAAATCTGCTGAAAATTTACTCACCCTCAGGCCATCTAAGATGTAGGTGAGTTTTTCTTCATCATTTCTTCATCAAAACAGATTTGGAGAAATTTAGCATTACATCACTTGCTCAACAATGGATCCTCTGCAGTGAGTGGGTGCCGTCAGAATGGAGGAAGCATTAAAAACGATTATGGACTTGTATTTTGCCCAGCAGCGACGGTTCAAAGTTAAAATGCCTTAATAATGGATTTGTTTGTTACAAACACGCAGCTTTTCACTTCACAAGATTGACTCTGATTGATCACCGATTGACTGGAGTCACATGGATTATTGTGATGTTTTTATCAGCTGTTTGGACTCTCATTCTGACGGCACCCATTCACTGCAGAGCATCCATTGGTGAGCAAGTGATGTAATGCTAAATTTCTCCAAATCTGTTTTGACAAAGAAATAAACTCATCTAATGTACATCTTGGATGGCATGAGGGTGAGTACATTTTCAGCAAATGTTCTTTTTTGAGAGAACTATTCCTTTAAGTATATTATTTCCATAATAATTAAAGTATGCCAACCATTCTTATGTGCATTAGATGGTCAGTGAACGGACTCTGGACCGTCTGAGGCCAAGTCTGGTTTAAGCTGGTCTTTTTTTTAGCATGGCATGGAATGTGGGATATTTATTTACAGAGCAAATTGTGTATGGGTATGAGAGAATGGGACACTTCAGTCCACAGCAAAACATCTTCCAGAACATCTCTCTCCAACTCAGCTAGTCAGTCAGTCAGGCCAGAACGCATCTTAATTGAGGCATGATAACATGCTGGAACGGTAAGCATGAGAGAAAGGTTAGATTTAATTAGAGAAGGCAAGCGTGAATATTTAATAAGCGTGGCCGAAACTAATTACAAGAGCAAGGCGGCGATGAGCTCATGCACCGTTTCAGCAAGGATCAACAAATCACACCCAACTACAACAAATCAGACCCACCATAGCGTCTCTAATCCCTCACAAAAGAATTGGAAAGGCAAGAGAAACGCTTACTGCAGCAGAAGTGAGAGTTATTGACCAAACCCAAACCTTCTCGACCTTCAGATGAAACCCAAACAAGTGAAGTGTCTGGGCACTGAAGCGGGCGGTTGACTAGGTGATATGTCACTTTTTCAGGTGCTGAAGAGCGTGGGGAGATCCCACGAAAGCATCTCCTACCTCTTTCTCTGCTATTGGCGAAGCGGCCACGGTAACAGCTAATCGATCGCTCCTGAAATCCCCCAACACACCCTCGCCGGGAATGATCAATATCCCTAGCAATTAGAATCCCCTATCTGCATGGCTGCAGGGACCTCGGGGTAGATCTGTGGCCCACAAACACCCAATTTAGTCCTCAACTTACCACTTAATTACTAAATCCTCTGTAATGCGTATTGGCAGATGGGAAGTTGTGCTGAGCACCAGCGGATGGCTGACTGAACAAGAGACCTTTGGCAAGGTGCTAGTTAAGATACGCTTTCTCGTCCTCTTCCAGCCAGTTAAACATCTGTTTCACACATGGATCCAGACCCACGGTGATTCCTCCATTGAGCAGCACACCTTCTCATAGGAGGGCAGAGCGAGAGGTAAAAGCAGCACGCCAAGGGTCATGAAGGCAAAAACACACTCTGAACTGTCCTGAGAATTGCAGCTTCGCTTAATAAAACTCGGTTTGTGTCAGAGACACTGGCACAGTGGAGTGTGCACACGCTCAAGACATGTAATGCAAGAGCTGTTGGATCACTGGGAACCCGGTTTGAGTCCCAATCCCATTCTCTCTCTCCCTAGCTGATGCTGCATGCAAGTCCTCCTGGGAAGCTCATAATTATGGGTTCATATAGTATAATTATGTAATTATGACTTTGTTTGGAACATAATGGAGCAAATTTACACATTTGTAACTTCATGGGTTTGTATTAATCAGATAGCTATCTGGTTTGTTCCATTTAAACTTGGCCACATACAGTAAATGTGTCTCCGCAAAACTAATATAAATCCAACCTTCACTTACACTTCACTTGCTATATGAAAATTCAACAAGTTCAAGCAATAGTTTGAAAATTCTGAAAATGAAAATTCAACAAGTTCACACACACTGCGTTTTATCTATCATTAGATCATTTCAAAATCAAAGGCCTCAACAGCTGAGAGAACATCATCAGCACTGGTGAGAGAATTCAGCATTCACCACTTTTAATGAAGATGGCTGTATCTTAAACTTCAAGATGCAATGCTGACCATTGAGTTGCATTTGCAGCAGTTTCATTTTTTGCAGTTTTGGGAAGAACCCAACTGAAACAAAAACTACTGCACGATTTTGGACTAAACAAGCTTCCGTAGTCAGCTGCGCTGTGCATTATGGGATGAGCGGACAAGTGTTTGTTGACAGTTTACACTTGCAACATAGCAAACTATGTAGTATATGATGACCAGGGATACAATCAGCCCATGGTGGCGTGTTGTCTGCTGGCTTCTCCTCCTCTCTTTGTTTACTTCGGGGAGTTCCGATAGAATTTTCCCACACGTTAATTCTGACCAATCGAAAAGCAGATTAGGAAATACATTCAAGGACACATCTGGCCAAACGAGTGATGTGGATGTTGTCACGTGACTGCATTTTGGTTAGTTTCAACTGGTTCGGACCAGAGCAATCAGTGTGGTGTGAAAAGGAACCAAAATGGCTGAAAAATGCCACAATGCATAATTTTTTGTCCTTGGTCTGGACCAAATGAACCGAACTACAGACGTAAAAGTACCCTCAAACTACCTCCTGAAATGATTTGTGCAATCAGATTGCAATTCATCTCGAATGCGTTTTGGAGGGCATTTATACATCATCTTTTAGTGATCGGACAGCTATCTGATCAAAGAAAATGCATGTTTTTTTTTCAGCCAAAGAAGCTTTTTAGCAACTGCAACACAAAATCGAGAGCAAATAATGTATATAAGGTGTGCAACTGATGTGTACTTTATCAAGGCTTCCATAGAGTGCAGCAGTGCCCTTGGTTCCAGAAGTATTCTTTCCATAGGGGGTTTAAAAAGTCTTTGTTAAAGAGAAATAAACTATTACCAAGTCATAGCAACATTACAAACTTTTGAGATTTAACAGCTTTAATAAGAGAAAGATCTACAGTCCAATGAAGCATTGCGAATTACATAATTGAAAAAAATACAATGGAGGAATATAAAACTATTGATTTAAAGATGTTGATTACATATACAGGAACAATACATCTGCAAAATATGCATATTATGCATACATATATTTAAGCATTTTTGAGAGCATAGGGAGATTCTTGTCATGATTCTCTGATTGATAAAGATTTTTTTTTTTTTTTACAAAACTATGGGTAATGTAGTTTCTCACCCAGAATCCTGCTGTTAAACAGGATTAATCAAAAAAATAACCGGAAACAATATGCACTGATGGCTTCAACAAAAGCATATTCCATCGATTAACAACACCGTAGCTCACAGTAGGCCTGTCTGTAAAAGTTAAAAATCAATTCCCCTATGGAGAAAATGAATAGGATTTTACTTCCGGATCCTGACTGTTGCACTCTATTATCAGGCTACCATAGAGCATCATGGGAAATGTAGTTTTAAATTACTACCTTCATTTTAAATGACCAAATAGTTTTCTTTGGTAATCGACAGCTGCCATCCATAGAGCTTAAGTTGTATTTACCCTGAAATATGCCTAAAATAGACCTGCCCCAAACTTAGAAAATCAGGGCTCAAAGAAAATCCAGGGTTTCCCACTGATAATACTGGCATTGTGGTGGTGTTCATGTGCGCTCATCTGGTAAATACGATCATTCAGACATGACTTGAAGGCAGTATAAAGCTGAGAAATTTGGATTAATCGGCTCATAGCTTCACTAGCAGCCTTAATATGAGTGTGATATGAGAGTGTCATCCTGAGGAACTGAGTTTGGAAAGCTGTCTGCTGTACTATGCTGTCCAACTAATCACTCAAACTGCATTCAAGCACACTGGAAAACAGTCAATGCTGAGAAAGTAAGCAACCTGCATGCTGTCATTTTTGCTCACAGGTGTTTAATTCTGGACAGTGAACTGTTTTTGAGCCAATATGTTGAGTTGTAATTACCATGTGACTAATCACTTAGGAGTCACAGGGAAATGAAGACTTGAGCTGCGATGTCAATTATAATAAAATACTGCTATGATTGTATGTTGCTGCAAACAGTTTTGTCAGAATACATAGTTACTTTTGAATGGACATCTATTTTTTCCCGTATAATTGTGTAGTTGTGGCATCTACTAGTAGGGGCTAACTGGACCAGGCTGACCCCCTGATTTTGAGTTTACCGTGAGTCCTGCAGCTCCTGTTGGGTGCTTTCCAGACTGTCTGTTATTCTCTTGAGCTCTGCCTGGAGTCTCCTCTGGGCTTTCTCTGCCTGCACCACCTCCGTCACACGCTCTGAGAGCTGCTCCTTAGCCAGACGCTGACCTCTCTCCAACAGCTGCACTTTCTGCTGCTGCTGTGTCAGCTCCTGAGCTAAAACATACACGCATATAAAACATATAAAACATTTATGATTTCACTTCAAGAGTATCAGAGTTCCGGATACGTATAACAATATATACACTACCGTTCAAATGTTTGAGGTCTGTAAGATGTTCTTTGAAAAAGAAGGCTGCATTTATTTGTTTAAAAAACATAGTAAAACAGTAATATAATGGAATATTATTCCAATTTACAATAACTGTGTTCTATTTGAATGTATTTTAAAATGTAATTTATTCCTGTGATGGGAAATCCGAATTTTCAGCATCATCCAGTCTTTTCTCATACTCCAGTCTTCAGTGGCACCCGATCCTTCAGAAATCATTCAATTATGCTGATTTGCTTCTCAAGAAACATTTCTCATTATTATCAATGTTGAAAACAGTTGTACTGTTTAATATTTAATATACTGGAAACCCTGATGCATTTTATTTCAGGATTCTTTGCTGAATAGAAAGTTCAAATAAACAGCATGCATGTATTGATCGATTGATTGATTTATTACAGTGTACACATCTGTACATGTCACTTAAATGACTGGAATGACAATGATCAATTTCATGCATCCTTGCTGAATAAATCTTATATAAATCTGAATAAGTCTAAAATGTATATATCCAAAACTTCATTAAGTCTAAGTCATTATATGTTGTCGCTCATACTAATCCCTTTCAAGATTATACCACGGCCACATCTGCCCGTCTTCATCTATGTTGAGGATATTGTTTCTAACGAGCATCATTCCCACAGTGGTGTGTGTGAAGATGTGCATGTATCTGATGGCTTGAGGCTCTGAATTGATGGGCTGTTTCATTTCAGACGGGAGACTGCTGAAGAACACAAACAGGTGCACACGCATATTCTGACAAACCCACATGCTCTATCACACAGATTTAAATGCAATGGGCTATCTCTTGCAAAATCAAGAGAAAATCACTGCCCTGCTGAAATGACCAAATTAGACCAGCATGAATTCCCATGGTTTGTTCTTGCGGGTCAAGCAATCACATTTGAGTTTCCGTCTACCATATTTGATGTTAAACGGAAGAAACAAGCTTTCTTGGAACCAAATGTACTTTTCTGAGCCATTTTAACAAATACTTTTAATCAGCTGGCCCCAAGATTGAATGTGATTTTTAATGAATGTGTCCTATCAGAGTAAGCACAGGTGTAGTAGTTTAGTGTGTAATGCATTTTAAAATACTCATAATCAGGCTACAGTTCCATTTCTATCGATAACATGATTATATATTATTTAGACAATGTTAATAAATTTGTCTTAAATTATTTATTCTACCTTTGTTTATATGTTAAGATTTCATTTCTAAAAAGCTTTTCAATTATATGTGTTCAGAAAGACTTTTAGATTTGTTGGTTAATGTTTAATGGTCACGTAACATGCAAATAAACAAATACAATATTTAATCCTTTTTATGTGTGTTTTATTTTGATTTGTTTTGATTTATTTTAATTTTACATTTTTGTGATTTAATTAATTATTAGATTTCCATTAACTTATGAACCCTTGCAGTTCCTTCAAGAAAACCACTGTTTGGATAACCCTGACATTTAATGCACTTCATGTTGTTGATAACAAAGAATGGGATTTATTTTCTTTGTATTTTAATATCAATATGGTACAATATGGATTATCCTATCCAAATTAATGTGATAAAACAAGTTAGGTCAACAGTAATCAAAAAGTAGTCAAAATATATTACCTAAATTGTTTATGTTAATAACTACATTTTTTTTGTCATGTAATTTGCTATCATTAACTGACTACAATTTGTAAGTAATCTACCCAGCACCGAGTTTGGCTTAGGTGTCCAAATACTCCTTGGGGCTGCTGTATTTGCAGTTTCAGCAAATCTTCTAAGAGCTTAAAGTATACTCTACGCTTTTTAGAATTATTTACATCATGGCAATCCACCATAAAAGTTCTACAGGTGTTCTGCTCTGTGTTACCCGTGTCTCTGCAGGTGGCGTGAGCCTCCTTCAGTTGTTCTCTGAGCTGAAGCATCTGCGTTTTGAGTGAGGCACACTCTTTCTCCCTTTGCCTTTTCTCTTTCTTGGCTCTCTGCAGATCAGCTTCTAGCCCTCGAGCATAGATGGCCTGCCTCTCTGCCTCCGCCGCCTTGCTTCGGATCTTCTCCCGCGCCTGCAGAAGATCAGCCTCGGATTGTCTAAGTAGGGCATCTCTCTTTTGGATAGCCTGAGAGAGAGAGTGACTGTGAGAATCCGCCACAGGCAAAGCATATCTGATCTGTACATACAGTGTGTGTATACTTGTTTACCTGGTCACACTGCCTTTGAGCTGCCAGTAGTTCTCCTTCCAGACTAGCAACCTTCTGTTCCAGAGAATCAACTTGTGCTCGTCTCCGGCCCTCATCCGCTGCATCCGCCTGGAGCTTTCTCACCTGCTCCTGCAGACGCTGCACCTCTGCAAAACACACGGCTGATTGGAATCAGTGTGAGAATCGAGTGAGAAAGTGAGCTGCCCGTAGGTTCACTCACCTGCCGTACTGGCATCTCGGTGCCGTGCCAACTCCAGCTGGCAGACCCGCAACTCCTGGGCGCTCTGACCGCAGCGCTCCAGCGACTGGAACAGCGCCTAAGGACAAACACACACACACCTCCACTAACATGCGAAGTCGTCACACAGCTGTCAGACTTCTGTGACTGTGCCTTGGGGGAGTCGTGTTGATGCCCGGGGCGCTGGAGGGGCCGACCTAAGGTGGATAAGAATTCCCCCTCTTCCCTGAGCTGTCTCCATCCCTAAGGCTATCGCTACGCCCACTGCTTACGCTCGCCTCTTCGACTCCATTCCTCTCCCGTCTGGCCTTCATTTAGCATCCCAACTGCGTAATACGCCTGCTGAGTTTCGACACAAGGCAAATACCCGGTTTGTCCCTGACAGGTGTCGCCTCCAATCTGGCAGCCTGCGCTTTTGACGCGCTAACCATTCAATTAAGTCTCAGGGATGCTCTATGTGTGGGTGCCATCTCTTAATTACCCTGGGAACCGGGTTGCGTTCGCACGTCACGGCTCTGACAGGTGAACCGGCGTGTCACGGCGGTGGTAACACGTACCCGTGCTCTCAACGCCATGTGTCTGTCTGCTGCATGCAAACGGGACAGGTTTTAGCGAGATCTGATTGTGAAACTAATATAGCAGAGGCATAATCAGCAAACACGGGCAAGGTTGAGGGCCCTTCGTTTGGCACCATTAAAATAACGAGGTGTCACGAGGCGCTGGGACTCGCCGCTCCAACGCCAACATGTGTCAAGACAAATCTATATTTCATGGCCACTTACAGATGTATAAATAGCCAAACGAGGTGCTCGAATCATCTATAAAACCCTGCTAAAAGGTTGCCAGAAGATGGTGGGCACTGTCAGCGGGACAGAAGGGTAATCAATCTGAGAAGGGGGAGCGGGTGGGCAGTGGCGCGAGGGGGGCACTAAATCACGTCGCTGTTGGCATAGAGCGCGACGAAACGCTGACACTTCGGCTGACGCGCGAGCTCTCCGACAGCCTGATGGATCGCTCCACTACACTCCATTAAAGCTGGATGGCTCGCTGCCACTCTGACATAACAAACAATTAGTCACAAAGGTGCCCATGAACTTGCACGAAGCCTCTCTGGATTCAATCAAAGCCTGATAAATAGTCCCCGAGTTGCACGGTGTCAATGCATACAGTAACGTATGGCACGGGGAGCAGGTGGGTCCATTTAAAGCCCATTTTTGTAACAGGCAGAGATTACCATGATGGATCCATGCAGATGTGAGAGTAGCATGCGGTGTTTCTTTCAACTACAAAGACAAACAATGATAGTCCTTCACTCACGTGCTCTAGTTCCTGAACGCGGGACAGCTGGGATTCGTAGTCTGAGTCGGAGTGAACGTGAGTGGCCCGGTAGATGGAAAAATCAGCCTGTGTCTTCACTACCATCTCTTCCCGCTCTTCAGCCTAGAAAACACATACACACTCAGCTCTCAGACAGTTTTTAGATTTAAATTCATATAAAACAACAGGCTAGTTACATAATCATAACTTAGGGGGCAATAAACCTGAGAATTGTCTTCCTGTAATTACATGGGCTCTAGAAACACGATGGTCATGGGTTTCATTCCTAGGGAACACATATACTAAAACATATATCTTGAATAACCTCACAGTCCAGTAGTGCCCATTTACCTATCTTTTAGTTAAGACTACTGAATATTAATTAGGTGACAAATGATCTATCACCTAATTAATATTCATAAACCAGGATAATACAGTTTATTACATGCCCCATAGTTTTCTGATTTCTCATATGACCCTGGAAATTAGTTAAATTATCCCGTTAAAAATAGTTAGAAAATAGGGAAATAAGTAGTAATCTGGAGAGAAAGAGTGGGCATTCATTATTCTGAACGGCAAAAGAGCATATAAAACCACAGATCAGCCTCGATCTGGTCTCTATTTTCCTCTCTTCGGTCGTTAAGGTCTGATAACAGGCCCTAATACCTGTTAAGTTTTTCCTTCTGAGAAAGATAAATCAGTTCAGCACAGTGCTGTCAGAACTGAAGACTGAATACGAAACAATCCCAAATGGGCTCAGGCTTAATGAAGATAATGTTTCATTATGTTACACTGTCTGTTGCTGTTAAAGACATAAAACAACGAGCTAGGAAAAGAAAGGAAGGTTACATTGCACATATCATACTGGCAATTTATAGTTGCCAGTATGATAACATTCAACATTCCTTTTGAAACACTGCACCTCTGTCATTTCTGCTCCAATTTTACATCTTGTAAACATGTCTCTTACCTCTGCCACTGTTCCAGTTTCACTTAAAACTGCTGCTGTTACTCCTATTCTTAAAAAGCCAAATCTAGACCCAACTGATTACACTAATTATCGTCCAATCTCCAACCTACCGTTTGTTTAAAAAATCATGGAAAAGGTTGTTGCTGCTCAACTGCAGTCATTTCTAGCTCTCAATGAACACTGATATATTTCAGTCAGGTTTTCGTTCGCAACACAGTACTGAAACTGCTCTAGTAAGGGTTATAAACGACCTCATCCTTTCTGGTGATTTGGGTAATCTTTCTATACTTCTACCACTCGATCTCAACAATGAACTCTTTGATATGTTTCAGTCAGGTTTTCGTTCACAACACAGTACTGAAACTGCTCTAGTAAGGGTTATAAACGACCTACTCCTTTCTGGTGATTCGGGCAATCTTTCTATACTTCTACTACTCGATCTCAGCTCAGCTTTTGATACGGTCTCTCATAAACTATTACTCATGCGCCTCTCAGAGATTGGCATCTCAGGAATGGCGTTATCCTGGTTTTCCTCATATCTGACGGACAGACAATATTACATCACCATACATAACTATAAATCTCCCTCTGTCCCTCTTAAACAGGGTGTGCCACAGGGCTCAGTCCTAGGGCCATTATTATTTATTATTTAAATTATGCCCCTCGGACAAATTATTCGCCACCATGGTTTAATATACCACTGCTATGCCGATGATATTCAGATATACACTTCCTGCCAATTACTAGTACATGCTTTAATCACATCCCGCCTTGATTACTGTAACGCTCTTTTTTTCCGGATTACCATTACGCTCCATCTCTCGATTGCAATATATTCAAAATTCTGCTGCGAGAATGCTAACTTACACTAAACGGTCTGCACATATCACTCCTATTCTGTTCAAGCTCCACTGGCTACTGTGTCCTCTCATATCATTTATAAAATTCTTCTGCTTACTTTTAAGTCACTCCATGGTCTTGCTCCTACCTATCTCTCTGACCTGCTTTCTCCATACATTCCCTCTCGTTCACTTCGATCATCTGGAGATTAACTTCTTTGTGTTTCGAGATTTCGCCTATTATCTATGGGAGGTAGATCTTTCTCTGTTATGGCTCCCAAACTTTGGAACACATTGCCCCTGGCTCTTCAGACAATAACCACACTCCACAAATTTAAGTCTAAACTCAAAACCTATATGTTCAACCAATATTACCTGTTATTCTCTCTCTTTTTTTTTTTGTGTGATTATGATACTGTATTATTACTGTGGTATGCAACTGCAACCGCACGTTCTGGACTTGGCAAATGTCTTGTCCATCTATGTATAACATGATTGTTTATTTGCTTTTGTCATTGTGCAGCGTCCTTGAGCTTGGGAAAGGCGCTATATAAATTAAACATTATTATTATTATTATAGTGCCTTAGGCACAATATAAACAAGAAATAAACATAAAATCATCAGACATCTAATCAAAACAAAATTAAGACCCTAAGTTAATTTTAAGGGGACTAAAATAAATAATACAATAAGATCTTAAGTTAATTTTAAGAGGACTAAAATTAATAATAAAAGGACTTATAAATGAATGATAAATAAATAAATAATAAACAAAATGTGCTTAAAGCGATAGTTCATCAAAAAAAAAAAAAACTGACTATTTACTCACTCCCATGTGATTCCATCCTTATTGACTTTCTTTCTTCTGTGTAACATAAAGGAAGATATATGAGAAATGTCTCATGAGAATTTTTGTCCATACAATAGAAGTCAATGGTAACTGATGGTTACCAACATTATTCAAAATATCTTCTTTTGTGTTCTGCAAAAGAAAGAAGTAGCATGAGAGAAGTAGCTATGTCTAATTTATGAATGAAATGTTCATTTCAGTTCAGTGTACACAAAACCGATCTGAATGATTTGTTTAGAAATGAGACTGATTCAGTTCCTCAGTTGACTCGATGAGTAGATAACAGTCCACTAGAGTGGAAGATTATTGATAAATAATGGTTCAGTGTACACAAAACCGATCTGAATGATTTGTTTAGAAATGACACTGATTCAGTTCCTCAGTTGACTCGATGAGTAGATAACAGTCCACTAGAGTGGAAGATTATTGATAAATAATGACTAAAATCACACACAAAGCTATTATATCAATTCAGAAGATTTACAGACTTCTTTTAGGATACTTTTATGATGCATTTGCACTTTTCTTGAATCTTGAAAACATCAGTCCCAGTTTATAATTCTATGGAAAGAACAACCTGCACATTCAACACTTGTGTTCCACAGAAGATAGAAAGTCATACGGGTTTGATAGGACATGAGGGTGAGTAAATGACAACAAGTTCATGTTTGAGTGAACTAACACTTACAATAGTTGTATTAAAATAGTTAGAAGGCCCCTAGTCCAGCTGAGGATCATCTCAGAGAATGCTACACAGCAGTCTGTCTACAAGTATATTACGGTCTACAGCTTCCACTGAGAAGGAAGACGATGAGGTGAGGCGATTGACTGACGTGATTGTTTTACATCACAATCACAGATAAAGGAAGCTTTCCTTCTCACTCTGGTGAAGGTTATGTGCTGCAATGCCGACAGCCCAGCAGGTTCTGAGTGAGCGGGAACAATTAAGGGGAGCTTACACGTACGGGAAGGAGACATTGGTGAACGGCTGAAGGACGTGTGTGTTCTGACTCTGAGGTCCTGCCTGAAAACAGCTGGATCAATATAGCATGTATAAGTGTGATGTTTAGGGATTGTTAATGGGACGCTGGGCATCACATGTATCTGAGAGGAGAAGCCGGAGGTGCTTGAGGAGAAAAAGGCACGGGAAGGTAGAGCAGGAAGGTCCTCACACCTAGTGTGCACTGTATCCGACAGAGATGACCGCTGGGCTGTAGACAAGGCCTGTCCCTCCACCGCTGAGAGCAATGCCCATTATTTCAAGCAGACACCGCAGACCCAGCAGGCTTTTCCACTTTACACCACCCAGCCACCCTCCCGGTGAATGTACACGCAAATCAAAACAACTTCAGGTCCATTTAAACACCAGTCGCTGTGTCTGAAAGGGCCACACATGCAAACCTTACCCAACAACTACGAATCAATAGCAACTTCAACTCCCAGAATTCCTCAAGAGAGCCACACACAGCTCTCTCTCTGACACTGGGGGAAATGAAACACCTGAAAAAGCGCTCTCTTCAAATAGTGAGAAGAGTGAGGGTTTTGACCTGGATCGATACAATCCAGTAAGAACAACTCAAACGTATCTGATGCTCAGATTGGCTTTTGCACCCGGAGAATGGCGTAGATTCGCTTCCCCATTGTGTTCACACCTCAGGCTGCACTAACAAGCCACTTTCCACTGGTATGTGCGATAACTAGATTTCAATTGGCTTGATATGCAATCCGAACCCAACAGAATTCAACTCTAGGGAGGAGAAGAGTGTGTTAAGTCTGTTGCATTATGGGGCATTCATAGTTCAGATCTGCAGCCTTTCTCATACTCGATTTAATAGTTCACAGGTGTGAATATACAGTGGTTTTGCAGAAGTATAGGACAACTTTTCTGGATCAACATCCCTAGAGTAATATTCCTGGGTCAATGACATGATGCTCATTGTTTTGATGGATCTAATAACTTTTTTTAAACACATAAAAAATGCAGTTCATACATACAATGACTCGAATATACCTCTTCTATGATTAGCATGTTTTCTTTTCTATTTTTTTTTTAATTAAAATTGATTTTTATATTTTTTGGGGGAGACATGAAGCAAAATATCAAGGTGATAAGGGTGAACTGTCCTAATATCATAAAAAGATAAAGTAAGAAATTAATAATATCTAATAACTATCAAGAAGTATATTTTAACAAAAATGTGTTACAGCTTTTTAATATTTGAAAAAACTGTTGTCTTACAATTAAAGTCATTAAGTTAAAAGACTTAATGATATTTATGAAATAATAACAAATAAATGCTATTGTGTGATAAAAATTGTGAACTTTTGAAACTATCAACCTTTGAACTATCATTTTTTCTTTAGAATATAGGTGAATAAAAAGGTAATACAATTAAAATATATGTGAAAACATCCCCATTACTAATATCATCATTATTGATAGCTTTAAAAAAATAAGTATATAGTAAAGTCAGGCTGATCCAACTGTCTTGATATAATAATGATATCATATTTGTAAATACCTTTTCCTTTCCTTTTATCTTTTTTATTAAAAATGAAAAAAGGTAATATATATATATAACATCTTCAACATCTATTTATTTATTATTATTATTTTAAATTGATGATGATATTGATCTTGTTGTTTGAGAATATTGATAATAAAATTGTTTTCATTGAAGATTATTGATAGCTTTAAAAAAATATATATATAGTAAAGTCAGGCTGATCCAACTGTCTTGATATAATAATGATATCATATTTGTAATACCTTTTCCTTTCCTTTTATCTTTTTTATTAAAAATGAAAAAAGGTAATATATATATAACATCTTCAACATCTATTTATTTATTATTATTATTTTAAATTGATGATGATATTGATCTTGTTGTTTGAGAATATTGATAATAAAATTGTTTTCATTGAAGATCTTGTTCATCACTGACCAATCAACCAATCGGATCCCTTACATTCCCTTTGAGTTTAGTGATTCTTAATGGTTAGGCGTAGAGGTAGGGTTAGGCCTAAATTTGTTTGACATGAATGACCTAGATGTACTTGGGCCACCATGAAGGGACACACCTACTCAAGCTGTGGGTTAGTTAGTGGTGTTTCTGGTCGGGTTACCTGTCGGCGAAGGGTAGCAGCAGTGTCTCTGAGAGAGCTGATGAGCAGCTCACATTCCTGGCTGTGTTTACGGCTGTGCTCCAGCTCTCCCAGCGTGTCTCGGAGCTGCTGGCTTAGTGCGGCAAGGGCATCGTCTCCACTCTCCAGCTGGGCGCAGTGTACCTGCAGATCTCCCTGCAGAGCTACAACCTGAGCCCTCAGACGGAGGACCTGCTCTTCCCTCTGTGCCACCTGACGAGACACAAACGACAGCCAAAAGCATATCAGGACCACCACCGATGTCTGCTGCTTTGTGCTTTATAGTTTCAGTTTAGCTCAAAAATTTTGCAAACGAGTAATTAGGGATCCGTTTTTATAAACCAAATGTGAATCTGTTTGGTATTTGCTGCACTGCAAAAACAAAACCTTTTTTTCTGAATGTCAATTTAAATTTTTTTCAACAGTGACTTGGTCTTTTTCACATCCAAAACTGTAAATTTAACAGTATTTTACTGTAAAAATACATTACGGTTAGATATATACAGTTATTCACTGGATATAGTAAGGAAACTTACTGTTAAACAATTAACAGGTTTTTACCATTGCATTTTTACAGTCTTTTACCGTTAAAATCACAATCATTTTTTACAATAATGACACTGATACGATACCAGTATTTATAGTAATGTTGTTATTTTCAAGTACAGTACAGTAAAACTGATGATTTCATGATTTTCTCTGTCTGGTTCATTGTATGTACACTTTTTTCCACATTAAAAATTATAAAGAATTATAAAGAATTTTTAACGGTGAAAAAAGTCTCTTATGCTCACCAAAGTTGCATTTCTTTCCTAAAAAATACAGTAAAGAATAGTTATATTTTTAAATATTATCACAATTTAAAATAACTGTTTTGTACTATAATATATATAATATAATTTATTCATGTGATGGTAAAGCTGAATTTTCAGCATTATTACTCCAGTCTTCAGTGTCACATGATCCTTCAGAAATCATTCTAATATGCTGATTTGATGCTCAAAAATATTTCATATTATTATCAGTGGTGAAAACACTTGTGCTGCTTCATATTTTTGTGGTAACTTTTTTCAGGATTCTTTGATGAATAGAAAGTTCATAAGTACAGAATTTTTTAACCATATAAATGTCTCTAATGTCAGTTTTGATCAATTTATCGCTGAATAAAAATATGAATTTTTAAAGAAAAATTTATTTCTAATTTCTGGTACACTGGAAGGTATTGTTTTAGAGTAGAAGTACAACTACATAGCTTTTCAAATAATTATTTTCATGTTATGGCTGATTAAAAAGAGATTTTATTGCACAGTACAAAAGAAACTTTCAACAGAAAAAGGATATTCTGTTGCAAACTGGAACGAATAAGGACTAATATTATATGAAATATAGTCAAAACATACTCTGCAGTTGCTAAAACTAAACTAAACTAAACTTAAAGGGGTCATATGATGCGATTTCAAGTTTTCCTTTCTCTTTGGAGTGTTACAAGCTGATTGTGCATAGATAAGATCCCTGAAGTTGCAAAGACTAAAGTCTCAAAACCAAAGAGATATTCTTTATCAAAGTTAAGACTCTGCCACGCCCCCCTAAAACGGCTCGTTCTAACACGCCCCACATATCTACCTCACTATGTGGAAATATTAGCATAATGCAGCCCAAATGTGCACGGAGAGTGTGTGTGTGTGTGTGTGTGAGAGAGAGAGCGAGAGAGAGACAGCTTCACATCACAGTACATTTATTTTGAAAGATGAAGCTCGCGATTATGGTAAGGGGCGTTACATTTCCGACGAGTGCTTGCGGTGTTCGGCCAATCGCAATGCACTGGGTCAGCTGGCCAATCAGAGCAGACTGCGCTTGTCGGAAGGAGGGGCTTTGTAGAAAACGAAGCGTTTGAGAGAGGCGGGGCATATAGGACCTACAATAATGTACAGTATTTGAAAAATAATGTGTTTTTTGAACATTAAAGCATGTCAACATATTCTGTTACACCAAATACACAAAATAATGATCTTTAAAAAAGCATCATATGACCCCTTTAACTAAAACTAATTTAAGTACCAACCTGACTGTGGGCCTCTTTCAGGTCCTCCTCGCGGCCATGCAGTGTGTTCTCTAGTTGTGCGATTTTGCTGAGGCAGGCCTGGTACTTGTGTTTGCAGAGCTCGAGGGATTCGCTAAGAGGTTGCAGTCGTGCCTCTGCGTCTGTGGCCAGTTTCTCAGCCTCCAGTAGACCTACCTTTAGTTGAATCAACTCTGCATCCTGACTGCGGAGAGCTGCCACCCTGCCGGAGACCTGACACACACAAACACTTATATTTAGAAGCAGAAGTTGTGATATAGTGAAAGTGAAGTCTGCTGAACTGTCTCACCTCGTCCTCCGTGTCTCTCTGCTGTCTGTGGGCCGTCTCCAGCTCTCGGCACAGACTCTCCAGGTTATCTCTGTGCTGCTGCAGATGACTTTGTGTGCTCTGCAGCTCTTCCTTAAGGGCCTGCACCTCCTTCACCCGGCTCTCCTTCTGTTCCTGCACCTCCTCTCGCAGATCACACAGCTCGTCCTTTTGAACTTTACACTGACACACAGCAGACAACGCAAATGAGCAATAAACAGACCGTGCTTCAAAACCTGTTGTGCTTGACAGAGTGAAAAACTATCGAGGCTACCTTGATAGCATTTTTGAACACCATAAGTGTGTCGAAATGTTAAAATCAACTGAACAGCCCAGGGTTATTATAGTTAACTAAAACTGAAATAAAAATGAATAAAAACTATTTAGACATATTAACAAAAATAGAAATAACAAAAAACACTTAACAAAATCTCTAACTATAATTAAAATGTAAATATAAGAAAATATAATTCAAAATTTTAATTAAAAACTATAATAGTCAATGATACAAATAGGTCACACTTTAGTTTGGGGACCAATTCCCACTATTAACGACTTTTGCCTCAATAAACTTGTTAAGCAACAAATAAGGAGTTTATTGATAGTTGTCAAGTTTAGGTATTGAGTAGGATTAAGGGATCTAAAATATGGACATGCAGAATAAGGCATTAATTTGTGCTAATAAACAACCAATATGCTAGTAATATGCATCTTAATAAGCTGGTCGGTTGGTTGTATTTACATTTATTGCCATATCAGCTTCATCGACAGATGTATCGGCATTACATGGTAGATACAAATTAAACATTCAACAACATAATATCATAAATACAATATAATAAAAACAAACATTTTGTAAAATTGACTTTAGAGAAAAAGACAAGATTAAGTAACACTTTATTTTAAAGTCCAATTCTCACTATTAACTAGTTACTTATTAGCATGCATATTATTAGCATGCTGGCTGTTTATTAGTACTTATAAAGCACAAATTAATGCCTTATTCTGCATGGCCATGTTGTAGGGTCCCTTAATCCAATACCTAAATATAACAACTACCTTGCTAACTATTAATAAGCAGCAAATTAGGAGTTTATTAAGGGAAAACTCTTAGTTAATAGTGAATATGTGTTCCCTATTCTAAAAGATTATTTAAATGTACTTGTGATAAAAATTGTAAAGGTTTTTCTGGTATGTTAATAAGCAACTAGTTAAAGGGGTCATAGGATGCTACATGCACTTTTACAAGTTGTTTGAACTGAAATGTTCTGAAAAGAGCTGTTTTTGACAGGGTAAAAAATGTGTTTTTTACACTACCATTGAGAAATTTTAACCAAACTATGTTACAGACTTTTCATTAAGACCCTAAAGTATCATATCAACTTGTGGAAAATGGGCATCCTATGACCCCTTTAATAGTGAGAACTGGTCCCTAAATGAAAGTGTTACAGCAAATACAACAGTGGTATGGTCTATGGTGTCCAAAAACACAGCAGCTGTCACGAACACATCTTGTTCAGTTTTATAGTTTCATTGTCATGTTCTGTTTAGTTTCTAGGTCATGGTTTTCATTGTCTCTGCTCTCGTTCATTTGTTACCACATTTTCTCATTAGTTACACACCTGTTGCCTGTTTCGTTAATTATCGGTTTCAGTGTATGAAAGCCCTCTGCTTCCTCGGTTCAATGTTTTGCATTAACGTCAGTGTTTAAAGTGTATGTGTAGTTTTGCTTTGTGTTTTCATTAAAGTCTTCATGAATCTCAATCGTTCTGTGTCACACTCTCCGCTTTGGATTAATCTACAAGCTGTTACGTGACAATGGCGTTCTAAGAGTGCTAATAAATACTGTAACAGCACTCTTTATGTCACTTCTCTTGTCTGTGTTTGTGGCGTCCCAGATCAGAGTATGTGAGCGGTGTGGAACCGGAATGAAATAGTAATGCACCGCAATTGAAATTCTGGTTGATACCGATGAGCTCATAATTATTTTCAAGTTATTGCCAATATTAAAATTCTGTATGATTATTATGTCTAAACAAACGAACAATAAAACACTAAAAACTAAAACTTGTCTTTTTAAATTTAAATATAGGCATCACAACATTATAATCTGCAGATTAAAAAATGGCTATTCATTTTCTAAAGATGACATTTCACAGTGTTTTCAAATTATTAATCTTTTTAAAGATTAACTTTAAGTGAGCTAAATGATGGCTAAGGTGATCTAAATGTTAAAATAGGGAAAATGTGCAGCACAATTACATATTGAGTGGACATATAGTTTATACAGTATATATATATATGCAATATCAACCGATATTGATACCTTCTAAAAATCTCTAATGTCGACAAATAACTGATGGAATGGTAATTTATGGCAAAATTCATAAATCTGAGCCCATGCAACTGAATCAATATGTGTTCAACTGTCCTGCCGCTTTACTGCAGTGAATTCCATTGTACAATAATTCCACTGTAAAAGGACCGTGCAATAGAAATGCAACGGCGCAAGTGATCCAACTTTTTGATTTAATTTCCGTGTTACCTGTGTGGGGTGAAATGAAAGTTTCTAGAGCTTTAACAACACTATTAAACTAATGCAGAATATAATGTATATTGGGGCAAATATTTACTGATTACATACTGTACTGATTCAGTGACATTGTGATAACTATTGTGTTTAACACAATTCTGTATTTTCAGCAAAGCAGAATTATAAACATTTCCATGCTAGCTTGTTTTTCACAGCAAAACAACACAAAGATTCCACAAAAATCAAAGTCCAGCAAGATCCTGGTGGGACCGTGACATGCAAAGCCTGATGCTTTGGCTTCTTTGGAATATATATGCGAATAAGTAGATCATAATTATTGGTCGGTTTTCACTGCAAATTAAAAAATAATGCAGCAAATATCACGATTTTTTGAGAAAAACTGTAGCAAATTTAGACATTTTGGGCTGCGAAAATCAGAAAAAAAAGGGACTGGGTGACATGCAAAGCTTGATGCTTTGACTTTTTTTATTATAAAAAATAAATAAATACACAAACTTGCCAAATTTTGTTGGTAAGTTACTTCTCATTTCTGATTCACAGAACTATGATATAAAAGCACACTTACAATAATTACCTGTTTACTCGTATCATAGCCGTGCTGATATTCACTACAACAGCATTCTTAATTAGTTAATTAGTAGAGTCAGAAGCATCCTATTATTACTCCATATTTACAGACTCACATCTGCAGTCACAGGCTGGCATATATAATGAATACTAGAGATTCTCAGACAGAAATCAGCGAAGCCTGTTTGCTCCCTGAAGCATGTCTGTGGTGCCTCACTGATAGCAGCTCTACATTAGATTATTAGACTCCAGAGAGAGACGATCCCAGATTGGATAATATTATTTTTTCCCCTGGCTGATGATGCATTACAAACATAAGAAGCACTGTAACAGATGTCTCGCAGGGTGAAAATAATATATCACACAGGCTACTGCGCGCACACACATGCGGTATATTAGTTCTATGAGTTAACTTGCGTGATTTATTGGACTTGGTGAAGGCCCTGGATGGAGTCTCCTCAGTGCACCTAACTTCCCTTGCAAGCATCATTAAGACTACACCGCTAATTGTGTTGTTTTAAAAGAGTGGAAGCTGATAATGACTCCATTAGTGATTCACCAACACTTCTGTTTCCTTGGAATCGAGCCGGGAGGAGTAACATGACATGCACGTGGGAAAACCGCTGACAGATGAATGGAATAAATGAAGCAAGCAAGCAGAGGGAAGGAGAGAATATGAATGTTTCTTAAGTTGATGTAAACTAGTAAAAGGTGGTAAAGGCAAGGCGAGGTTTGACAACCACAAGAAAAATGTGGACGTTTGATACTTTGAGGCTGTCTGATTGGCCAGCTAAATTGATTTACACTGCAGAAAAGGCACATTAATCCCAACTTTTTAAATGAGACACAGACATAAATGCATAAACAGGAATCAAAGTTGCAGAAAACTGTGTAGTTAAAAGGTGATTCTCATTTATTATTATCTAAGCTTATACTTCAGGATCCGTTTGAACATAATTCCAAAAATACATTTAATCATGAGACAAAAAGTTAATTTAAAAAATAAATAAATAATGTATAATACTCTTCTCCTTCTTCTTATATATTAAGAGTCTACTTTTCATCATCATCCTTATTATTATTATTATTATTTGTGCATTATTATTATTAGTCATAATGTATTATTATTATTACTATTATATAGAGTCTACTTTTCATGAATAATAATAATAATAACTAGATAAAAAAGTTCGTCAAGACAAACTTTAAGTTGGCTTGAGAAAGCCGGACTAGAAAGTTAGAAAAAGTTTGAAAAGATTAAAAAGTTTAAGAAGTTTTAAAAGTTTTAAGTTTGATGGTTTTCAGTCTGAAATAGCAAAGTTTGAATATTTTGAAGGCAATACAGTCTGTCAGAGATGATAAATAGATAGATAGATGTAGATAGCATGTTGCTAGCAAGATTAGCAAGTGACTAGCATGTCGCTAACATGATTAACATGTGACTAGCATGTTGTTAGCATGATTAACAAGTGACTAGCATGTCGTTAGCATGAGTCTGATTGAGTCTAATGGGCTTCAGTGTGTTTAGATTTGAATTTTGACAGTTGGAGTTTGTCGGAATGTTCAGGTGAGCAGAGACTTTTCAATGTAAGTCTATGGGATTTTTATGATTTTTAATATTCATTTTTAAGAAAACCATAAGTCCGATCAGTTAGAAAAGATATAGCACACCCGGTCAGAACAGTCTGAAGAGCTGGGCTGAGTTTGGAGTCTGTAGAGTTAAAGCTCTAGGAGGAGATAGAGTTGATAATTTAGGATCAGAAGAATAATAAGAAGTTTAAATAGCATTTCAGTAAGTTGGCTTTCACAAGCCAACTTAATAATACACATTACTGTCATTAATAATGATTTATGAATTATTATTATTATTCAAAAGTAGACTCTTTATATCATAATACATTATTATTATGATGAATATTGTCATTAATAATTAATCATTAATATTCTATTCTATTAATGAAATGTAGACTCTTTAATATAGATTTCTATATCACACTATCCTATATTGTTGAAATTTTTGTGACAAATGAATGAAGCTTTCAGAGAAGACAACGAATATTGA